ATTTTGGATATATGAATAATTTGGAATTTAAGGGGTAAATAATAAACCTTAGATTGAATAGGTACCTAATTTGTATATACAGGCAGTGTATACTAAAGTAAGCATAATTATGATTTTATTTTTAAAATAACTCAAATTATATTATATAATAATGAACAATTTTTTTAAAAGTTATATTATTTGTTGAATAACTTTGATGGTCAAACATTTTAGAAACATAAAATTTGGCATTTTTTTTGACCTAGTTTTATAATTCAGCCGATGCCTATATTAAATGGCTGGGCCTAGGTGATACTGTTACAATGTTATCTAATAACTAATGTAATCTTTTAATATGTTTTCAATTTTTAATTGTCTTAAATAATTATCAATATTAAGTTATACTTATAAATGAAAACATTTAGCAGAAGTGCCCAAAGGCTATTATAAAATATTAAATAATAGGTACCTACTTAACAGAAGAATTTTCACGTATTTTAGGAATGTTGTCCCATCCTAAATGAGTAATGACTAGTCGTACAATTTTATGAATTGAGCTAATTCATATATTTATTTATAAGTTATAACATATTATAGAATAATATGGCTATACCTTTTTTCAAATGTAGTATCCGTATTATGAAGAATGCTATAAATGTCCAAAAATCTTTCTAATCATAAATGTTTGATTATATACATTTTAAAAATAAAATGATGTCAATTATTTACAAATAGGTAAAGTAAACACTATTTTATCCAAACACAGAAAGTATTTGTCAAGTAGATTTTTAAATGCTCAAGTTAAACACTAAAACGGATGTAAACCTATAATAACTAATAGATATCCATAACCATTCTATTATCACAAAATTTAAACTTAACCTAAGCATCGAGATCACTTCACAAATGATTATTATACACAAAACGTATACATATATATAACAAAGGTAGAAATTATGGTTCATAAAACTCTTCTTTATACAAAAGTAAAAATATAATAATTTATTAATTCCTGCATTAATGATCGATTGATTAATGTAATTTTACTAGCGCCATAAATATTAATAATAATATGTGGTTATACACATAAACAAATCTGTAAACGGTTTTGCATATTTTGCAATCTTCATAAAATTGCAAAAATAATTGTTTAAATGTAGGTACATTATCTCTATTTAATTTACTTCTACCTTGCACCTTTAATGGGATAATTATTTAATGTACCTATTTGTATCCACGACTACAATCAATGAACTTATTGTCTTCTGGATTCTTACAAAAAATGAATAAACATCTTTCAACATTTATAAATTGTTTGAAAATTAGTTTATTTTATAGGTAGCACTTGGTCTACCACATATCAAGAAAAAAGCTATTTATCTAACAAACAACACGTTTGAAATTTACTTTAATAGATATATTTTATTGATTCAAATTAATATTTATTTATAATAATATGTCTGTTATCAATCTACCGTGGCAGGCTATTATTTAAATTACAGAATAACATATTTTCATATTATAATAAAAATACTCGTAATATGTAGACTTCTTAAAATGTATAATACGTTTATTAAACGTCTAATAAATAATGAATTTTATTAGAGTGATGCAAATAATTCCGATCACGTTTGTTCATACGAAACACCATAATATAATAATATAGGTCTTTTAGTATACTCCATGTTTCTCGATCGTTATATTTCTTGGATAGAAGAATGAGTAATAGGAAATAATATCTTAATTTACTAATCTACTGAAATAATAGTTATTATACTAGTATTGGCGTATTACCCATCAATTATTATTATAAGTAGGTAACCATATTTTTACATATTTATTTCTTCGGAAACCTCCTACCTGTTATAATGGGGTTACTCGAGGTTATCACCGAGCCTATTCTCATCATAGTTATAAAAAAAAAAATATGTACGAGTGGTTATCAGTATGTAAGACTTGAGTTTTTATCAGCTCACCATGAAGAAAATGCTAACGTATTGATAAATATTTAATATACATATATATATATTATTGTATCATTTATATTAGTATAATATTATACACACACTCGAATACACGTACGCGCACCACTGATAAAGAAAAATCAACCCTGCACAAGTGGATATTTTAAGATTAGCTAATGAATATAATAACATTGAACGCACGTAACCGAATGAGACTTTTACAATCGACGTTTACTCGCAAACGGATGCGACTGTTTCCAATACAATTTAGTACATACACTGCAGATGTTTGTGAGGCACGAGAAGCCCTTAATACAACTTTCTAGAGGCTTCTTCAATTAATTAAAAACTATATTTATATACATACATATTATATTGTTATTATTATATCTCATCGGTATACATCGTCTGCGTTAATTAGGCTGAAGGTTAAACTGGTGGGTTTTCTTTTTTTTCTTAAATACATTTATTCATTTGTTCATCGATTGAAACACCATACATTTTTACGTTGGTTAACATCCTCGAAGAATTTTTTAAGCATTTCATCGTGTGTAGTCGTGTAGACTGCAATCTATATAGTTGAAATATTATAGGTTTGATACCTAATATTATAATATTATATATCTACACTATGCCAATGCATGTTTCACCTCACGTATACCAATAAATAACAGTGTGCAATAACTAAAAATAATACACCAACATAGGTAATACATATTGCACATATACATGTATTTTATAACTACATTATGAAGTTATGGTATTAGTAAATCACATACATAAATTATATTACGTTAATTTAAACGTGAATGTAGATTATATACAGGGTGATTCATTTAACATTTAACACTCGATACATCGAAGAAAAGTATTACAGTTATCGACTTTTTGAATGACAAAGTAATTTTTGAAGTGATAATTCTGTACGGAGGAGATTTGTTCTTCGATTTTTTTTTGTCTAAAATCATTAAAATATTACAGTCCGAATCATTGGTTTTGAACCTTTTTTTAAACACTGCACACACCGACACCGTGCTCTTCATAATATTATCACGGCACAAGTCTCAGCCATGAACAACGCTTTCTTCATCAAAGTCTATTTTTTTAGTCCATCATTTATTTTTTTACACCAAATTAGTTAATCAAAATTTTACTTTCTTATATATATATATATATACTCTGAGGTGCTTTATGAATATGAAGAAAACACTCACAATTGCTGATCTACATAACTTTAACACAAGTTTCTTTATTAAGATATATTTTGTTTTACAAATTAGGAATGTGGAACGGTAATAGTATAACGTGAATTCGAAGACAGAGAGGCTATCGTCCAGTAAGCCACGGCGTAGCTCGTAAACGATGCACACACCCTCGTGCCCCCTCCCTATTCAACGAACGGTAGAGTAGATAACGTCACTGGCGATACCCGAGATGGGTAGCGACAGTGAGAAATGATAATTCCACAACTGATATTGTTACTCCATAAATTCATGGCGGGAAAGGTGAACATAATCATATCTGCATTGCTGATATGATTCCCGGTGGTGATATGATCACCGAATGATGAAATGGTGATATGATTACCCTATGGTGATACGATCACCGGATGGCGAAATAATTGGGATATTTTTACCCAGTGGTATGATTACACGGCGGTGATTTGATAACTGATGGTGATATGATTACCCGGCGGTTATATGATACTTGATGGTGATATAGTGATTTGAACCCGGTTTTGATATGTTTGTAAAATATCATGCAATTTGACCATTCTGAATTTGAATTCAAGGATAACCTTCAAACAAAGTAGTTCAAACATACTTAATTTGCAAAAATAAAAAAACTTCAGACACATAATATGGTTTGTAAGATAGTTTTTGTATACGCTCAAGAAAATTACTGGGGAAGTATAAAATGATACATCAGAGTAAAAACCCATTCGAAAATTAAAATTATTATTTGGTCGAAAATTAACTTAAATTTAATGCAAGATTTAGTTGTATTCGTGACACGAGTATAATAATTTACGCAAGAGATAAAATTATGGCTTACCATTATATTAACAAAGTCATCAGAAATATTTGCATCTAATATATTAATACTCATATCTTTGTTGCTATCTTCGAAATGTTTTAGACAATCATTTAGACTGGTCGAAAAGTTATCAATATTACTATTAGGGGAGATCTATTATCTGTATATACAATATACCTATAATATTAACAGGGTTATTATCTATATACTATATCAAGAGAGATTTCAATTGAGTTGCAATTAGTAATTATCTTATGTGCAATATAATTTATTTTAAATTTGTTTTTAATGAATACAGTCACTCCATCACTTTTATTTATTTTACCTACCTAGTGAGTTGATTGTTTGATATCCACTTAGCTCAAATTGAAAGTCATATAGGAGCCATGTTTCAGTAAGAACGATATTAAAATTAATTAAATTAAAATTATTCGTTTATACAATATATAAACGAATAATTTCGGATGTACTGTATAGAAAATAAATAGATTTAAATGCATAATAATTTTTTTATTTTTATTATTAGAATAATTTATAAAATTAAACAGGCAATTCTATTTAATTGAATACATATTTATATAATATCTAACCTAAATAAACTATAAACTTGAAGAAAAAACATTACCAGACGACACGACCTCCACCGTTATTGGTCGTACATGTTGAAATTGACTATCCACACGTTAGGCCTTTGATGAGGAATTTCGACATGAAAGACCAATAACGGCAGTTGCGGTGGTCGTGTCGTCCAGCATTCTGTACACGGTGGCAAAAAAATCAATGACTTGAATCTAAACTCGAATTAACTAATTATGCAGCTTGCAGTCACAAGGTATCTTCGACGTGCGTGGACATTTTGTATGCGTAGATTCTACATCGAATATGGCTTGACGTGACTGGAAACTGCATAATTAATTGATTCAAGTTTAGATTTGAGTCATTGTTTTTTTTGCCACCGGGTACGGAGTGCCGGAAGACACGACCTCGGCCGTTATTGGTCTTTCATGTCGAAATTCCTCATCAGAAGTCCAACTTGTGGTTAGTCAATATTACCGGCATATGGTACATGCGGTGACTGCGTCCGGAATTTAATGCACAGTGGTAGCTTAGTCCAGCAAGTCGTGAATGGTGGTGATATCCGGCTCGTCGGCCACGGTCCATGGAGGCATAGTGCGTCGGGGCGGACATTGCGTTGGACAGTTCATCGACGCCGATGGACGGTGGAAATATCCAATCGAAATGAGCAATCTGCCTGTGCTTGGAATATTTTGGTTTAATTGTATTAACTTCACAATTGTAAATTGGTTTAGATTCTAAACGTGAGAATAATATAAACAAACAGAATACAATTTTTAAAAAATGATTTATTCCGGCCTCTGACATCCAAGTTAAAATGAAAACCGTTGTTGCCGGATATTTATTTATTTCTTAGTTACATAATGTGCAAGAAAAAGTATTACTTCTCGTTTTAAGTCGTAATGACGTAAAAATACGATAAATATAAAAATGACACCTGTCGATAGTTATATTAAAATCAGATATTAAAATAGTAAAATTACACTATTACCTTCTTCCAGGGGTCCTAAGAGCTCTCGAGATCGTGTATTCGAGAATTAGATTAAATACACCGTACAATATAATTTTATGAAAAAAGCACGCATACAATGTAACAACTGCAATCAATACAAAATATTATATTAAATGCCTTACCTGATTCGCAGTTGTTTATGGATAATGCTGTAGGAGTTGTAGGTGACACAAGGTAATACTTCAAATACATAAATTGAAATAAAGAACGCACTAATTATGGCTTATCTATTTTTTTAATAATAATGGGGCTCAATTTTTAGAGGGAAAATGAAGGGTCAGTATTGGCAATGCGCATAAGACGGATGATCGGTGAGTTAAGATAGTAGTTTGTGGAAGAGAATGGTATATGGAATGGAACAGATGATCGTGTACGGCGCGACGGGAGGGGACTTTAAAAAAGACACTGGATAGTGATTTTAGAATGTCAATTTTAGAGGACAGACGATTAGATAGAAATGATCTATCAGCTGAGTGACGACGATCAGCGAGTCTTTCTAAGGAAAAAAGGCGTTGGATTGGCGTGTAATCGTGAGGTGGACAGGATATGTCTAATTTATAAGTAGTGTGATGGAGGAGTTTTCTTTGAACCCTTTCAATCATGCTACGTGCAGAAGCGGTGGACGGGTCCCAGAGGATGGTTCCATACTCAAAGATGGGATGGACTAAGGAACCAAAAAGAGTTTTTAGTGGAGTGAGCAGGTGAAAATCTGTAAGGATACGATTTATGAAACCTAGCAGTTTAAGAGCCTTACAACAGATTATCTGAATGTGCATATTAGGGCACAGGTTCTGTGTAAGAGTAAATCCTAAATCCTTTACTGAATTATTAGAAATTATCAAGGAGGTATTAAAAACCCTTCACAAGTCTCATAAAATATATTGATATAACTTTGATCCATAGCAGTACATTAGTTTCGATTAAAAGAGGTTGCGACATAGGCGGAGATTGGAGAGGAGCTTACAGCCCCCTAATTTTGTTGTTGTGTGGGATCGAAGCCCCTTCCCCACTCACATTGATGTTATTAATGTTAGCCCAACTGACATTTTAATGGATTTCCTTCTGTTTATTACTAAACAATTAAAATAATTATAAAACAAATTCATAATACCTATTTTGGTTTTTCGCAATTATTTTAATAAATACCTACAAAGAAATATCAATTTTTAACTCCCCCAAAGTACAAACTAGATTCAATTTAATACCAGAAATCTTCAAAGTTAATTATCAGTTCATTTTTTATATAGGTACTAGAAAAAGTGTTTTCAGGCACAAAAAAAAATATTAAAAATAACACATCTAATCCTGGTAAAATGAATAATTCATCGCTCCACTCATAAGCTAAAAGACATAATATGACACATTGAAATTTTTATTTATTAGGATAAATTACTAATAGCTATGGATACAAATTAAGAAGATGGTTTTATTTTTCTTCATTGAAAATAACTAATAGGTCATTAATAATGATCATGTTTAAATATTAAGCCAGTCCCATACTTATAAATTTATTCATATTATATACTATAATATATTAATATGTTATGTTGTGTTATAATAATATAAAATTTGAATCTCATGAAGGAAAAGCTGTGTTTTTTTTTTATTATTATTATTATTGTGTCATCCACTCATCCCTAATGACGGTCTGAGGATGAAAATATATCAACATTTTCAGAAAAATATATTAATTTAGACGTGTGCATGGAATAAAACTAATAGCACCATCTATAGTAGACTTATACTATACAATATACATCAATATACATGTGTACCTATATTAAATTAGCAATTTATGAAATGAAGTACCTATAAACACATGTTGTGTTATATCGATTAAATAAATACGATTTTGTGTAATAAAACTTCGTAATTAAAAAAAAATTGGAAATACATTTTTTACAAATACATTCATCTAAATTAGAAATAAATTATGTGTATTAAACACGCACGATATAGTTGGTGTATATCGCTTTTACGAGAGTCTCTTGAGAATTTATAATAATACTGTTGAGCATGATATTATGCGAGTAGGTAGTTTGAAAGTAAATAATAGTAAAACAAATTACCTAATCAATAATATAGTATAATACCCATTACGAGTTTTCAGTACTTTCAAATCGACTGTATAGGAGTATAATATTATGGTATAGGACATGGTAATATACAAGAAGAACGGTTTTACTTTAGTTTCGATATTTTTGTACAATGCACTACTTGGCGGTTTAACGCGACAACCATTTTACAACCAAAATAATGGGAAAAATCAAAAACCATTATATGTATATATAATAAACCGTTTACACAAAAATATATAATCAAACATACGAGCTTAAGGAATAATTTTTGGATGGATAACAAATATTCATCGTAAGTATATGTAGTATGTACATTAAAATTTAAGGCTCCTTTATAACGAACTACATATAAGACGAAAATCTCCTTACAACGGAAAATAACAACAGTAGATATATAACCTATGTACCGTATATTTTATTCTTTCTTTAACGGGTATACCTATTCTTTTATAACGGAAAAATCAGTTTGCACCGAGTGATTCCGTTATAAGGAGGTTTCTCTGTATAATAACAGATTTATTATAAATGAAACACTCTGATCCGCCAATGCTTTGCTATTAGCTTAAATTTCAATATATATAATTCGTATGGGTTAAAAGAATACAATTGATAAATATTATTGTATTTAGTTTAGAAAATGTAAATTAGATTTACACATTATAATTTTTTTACAAAATTACTGTTACTAGCTGTAGGCATGTAGGCTACCTATAGGATAGCTCACGCTGCACCGAAATTTAATTTAACGGAAATGCTTGGATCAGTTTTTGTGTCCTTTTGTTTATTTTATTTAAACATTTTTTGAAAATGAAACGTATCCTTTTAATTCTGTTTATCGAAGTGCTTTTGGATACATAATATTATTTTGGTTTTTCCACCGGGCGCGTACAAGAATCAATCAGATGGTTTTCCGATGCTTGAGCAGGCCACATATAGTTGACAACATGTGAGAGGCCAGAGGATTTGGATTTTCCAAATTTAGTCCTCACTCCTCACATTTTTATTCAAAACTAAATACACCCCGGAAACTGTAAACATTTGAGTTCGAACGGCATATTATTTTCTTTCTCAATCATTGGGATTTGGGATGCGTGTCAAGAGTACATGTTTCCTTTAAAACTTTACATTTAAAGTTTTTACTCAAAGATATTGTTCATTATCTTTTTCACTTAAGATCTGGTACCATTAAAAGTATCGTTAGGTTGATGTTTATAGAAGCACGTCAACTTCAAATCTTGTTTCTTCGACTCTTCTCAGAGTCCATGTCTCAGACCCATATAATACTACTGGAGCAAGTGACTTTAAATTATATGTAAAGCAATTTAAAATTGATTCGAACAAAAGTTATTTCATCTGTCAGGTCTTTCTGTTACCTACACTCTGTATACGGGCATATTAAATTAAAATATTAAATAAAGCATAAAAACGTGTCTTGTAATGTAGATTAAATTAATATGGTTGTGTGTAATGAAACTGTGTAACTAAAAAAAATGGGAAAGCATTTTTATAATAAATACATTTACCTATATTGGACATATTATATTGTGTGAATTGAACACGCACGATATAATATAGATGTATATAGTTTTAATGAGGGTCTCTGGTGAATTTACAACAATAGTTCCATGATATTATATAGCTTAAAAGTAAATAATAGTAAACAAAATTAATCGATATAGGTACATAATATACCTAGTACAACTATATTATTTATTAAAAGTTTTCGATATTTTAAAATTGACTGTATAGTAGTATAAAAATGTAGAAGTAGTAATCACGAACCACTGTTCGACTTTATAGTTTCGATGTTTTAGCTGAATGCGTACTTGGAGTTTAAAGTGACAGCGACCTTACATTCCAAAATAATGACGAAAATCAAAAATATACAAAAATATGTAATCAAACATATGAGCTTGAGGAATAATTTTTGGACAGATGATAAATACTCATCGTAAGTATATTATATTATACATGATACATCGATTTTTGTTTTATTAAATGACTTGGTTTAAGATAATGTAGGTAGGTATATAAACAGATTTTTGTTTTTTTTTTAAACAAATAGCTATATTTGAATAAATAATCATATCTACAAACTTTACAAATACAGTACAATAAATAGTTTAATTATAGAAATGTCGTTGTGAATGATAATATGAGAGTAAACCTCACAGTCAAGACACCGGATTTTGTTTATCAGATCACGCACCAGTTTCGTTCTAGCCGTCTGAGTGGATCCTCAAGAAGTGTGCTTTATAGATACGCATCGAGATGAGTTAGTCAGGGGTTTTTGTCGGAAGCATTTATAAAAAGGTGGGCAAATGGGTGTGGCTCTGCTGTACAGTAGGTTACAAGTGGGTCACTGTAATGGATGGTGTTAAATTTGAGTTCTATGATATAGGTAATATCATTGTATAAGAAATACGATTCTGAGCTTTGTGATTGGGCATGTGGGTGAAATAAAATAAAATAATTATAAGTTATAACATCAGTGCCGCATTTAGAAATTTTGCTCCCCGATGAAAAAAAAATTGGAGCCCCCTAAGAGGCCTGCCCACGGAAAATATGGGAGATAGATCCTCATTAATCTTTTAGATTTTTAGCACAGAAAAGAATATATTTTGTTTTACAATGTGTGATTTTTTTGAAATATTGTTTAGTAATTGCTTGATCCTCTCTCCTCAAAGATACATTTGAATTTATGTCACTTAAACAGT